CCTCTCAGATTGGTTGGAGACAAAATCATCCTCTTCTCTCTTACGCTTATTACTTAAAGATGAACAATTTGGCAATTAAAACTTACATTTGTATTAGCATATGCTGAGTCGGATCAAATAAATTTTTTTCCTTTTCGTCAGTAACTATAATCGTGTTAGCATCTATATCATCAACAATAATCCCTCCTCCGTTTTCTACCATTTGCGATATTTGTTTGTGGAGGTTCTTGTCTGCAATGGTTAAATAATATTTTACCTTCTTTTGTATTGTTAGTTGAAGTTGTTCCATTTTTTAAGTTAGTGGAAATTAAACTATGGATGCATCCACTCTTTGTTCCAAATCATCAAAAGCGTTTCACAAATTCACAATTTCACCATTCATCTTCTCAAATATTCAAGTCTTTGAATGATTACAGATTAATTTCAATTATCGAAAATGGATTGACACTGTCATTTAATATTAAAAAAAATGAAAAGAAAAGCCGATCACAAATCCTTTGATTTTCCAGCAAGTAAAATTGCCAATTTTAATTCCGAACACGTAAATCATGATGATCGTTCCGAGAATGTAATATTATTATTGAATGATTTTTATACAAGATGTGATGATGCTGATCATTGTCATGTTGTTGATTATCAACAATTACTTTATAACAAATTTCAAATGCAAACAAAGGGGAAAATTAAGTGGTTTGAATATCGATATGAATGTATGAAAAATCCTTTAAAGTACATTCCGATTGAATTTTGTAAGGATGCTGAATTTATTATTCATACATTGAATTCGGGAAAGTTGAAATTGAGTGAGGATTTATTCAATAATTTGCATCCAATTCTTAGAAAGCCAATGTTCTTATTTGAAATAATGGACAGGATTATTAAATTATCAGATGAATCGAAACAACCTAGTTTGCTCATTCTAGCCAAAAGTATGGAAACTGTATCGAATATGTTAACATGTACCCGTAACCAGGATGAGGACTGCTCGTGTGAAGTGGATGGATTTGAATTACCAGATTTTATGAATAGGATTTGTTTCTCTGAGGAAGAATTATTGGATGATGAAGAGCATGTTCTTCAGAATATTACAAGTGATGGCACAGTGAGAGTGGTGGACTTTATGAGGGTTTCTGAACGTTTAAGGAATGATTACAAATTTATGATTAATCTATTCAAGAAATTCAAGTTTACTATTGAGGCATGTGTTTGTGTGGGAAGCAAATTGAAATCAGATCGACAGTTTATCCTCGAATTGGCCAAGCTAACACCGTTTGCTATGGTCTTGGTACCTGAGGAGTTACGTACTGACAAGAATTTCATTATGGATATTGTTGCATTTAATCCGACATCTATTAAGCTTTACAGGAATGGTACATTAACAAGACATGAAATCCTTAATGAAATGAAAGAAAAAATGAAGAATCAATTGAATAATATTAACGATGATAAGGAGTTAGCTATCAAGTCTCTACTTTTTGACATTGATTTAATACAATATATTTCTCCTAAATTGTTGAATGATAGAGAGTTCATGATTGAAGCCGTACAACAAATTCTACAAAATGAGCATGTATCAGGAAGAAACTATCTCCATGACAAGTTTTATGATTGTGAGGAGCTCAGAGACAATTCTGATTACATGTTAAAATGCATAACAATAACAGATAATGCTTTCCAATTTGTGACAAGTCGGTTGAGAAACGATAAAGACTTTATTTTAGAAGCATTGAAATTTAATACATCTATCTACCGATATATCCCTATTAGATTATTGATGGATGATAGAGAATTCCTATTCAAATGCTTGGCAATCACTGGCAAAATTATCAAATTGGCAGACACTTTCAAATCTGATAAGGAAGTTGTAATGGCAGCACTGAAATCTGATGGAAGTATGATACGTTATGCAGATGATCTTCTTAAAACGGATAGAGACTTTATAATACAAGCAAAGAAAAATGCAGAGCTAGATATTGGCTTGCTACCTGAAATGTTTACGGATGATAGAGATTTTGTCCTCGAATTTTTCAATCCCAACAATTATAGTGATATATCCTTCATTATAGAATCTGACTATTATGATGACGAGGAGTTTCTAATGAAGCTCCTTAAAAAAGGATTCAAATATTCACTTTTACCACAAAGTATGATGGATTCAATAGAGTGCGTAAAGCTTGCTGTTGGATTAAATGGTACAGTTTTGAAAAAAGTAGATGAAGAATTCCAAAACGACAAGGAAATTCAAAAGGAAGCAATCAAATCGAATGGATTTTATCTTGTTTTTTCCCAAGATTTATTTGATTATAGAATGGAGTGTCAATACTTTGGATGCCACGTTTAGTGAATCTCTGAGATATCAATAATCAAAGGCAAAAATTAGTTAATAATGTTTAAAGTATTATTTGGACTAGATATATTTCGATAACAGTGAGAATGCAATTCAAAGTGAACTTTAGTTCAGTTGCCAAACATCCACAATAATCCTTGCTCGTGGTTGACCAGAGTTGTGACTTTGTTTTTCATAAATAACAATTTTATTATGGAAGCTCTGCTGTTTGAAATGCAGCAACACCGTGCAATGAGAAATAGTTCTTTAAGAATTGAACTCCCTTTTGAAGTTCCTTTTCTGAAATGTCAGTAATAAATTGAGTAAAGTTAATCTTGGTATCTCCTTTACATTTGGCAACAATGAAATGCTTTTTATCCAATTCCACAACAGAAATTTCCAAAATATTATGAAATGGAATGATTGTTTCAGATAGAATTTCATCCTTTTTGAAATATTTTCCTCTTGTCGTTACAATAATTTCTCTTCGTTCTTCATTGAGAAGAATTTTGACAGATTTCAATGTGTAAAGTTTCCACAACAAATAAAATGGTAAAGCAAGTAAAATTATTGGAATTGACACTAATGCTGTCAAGATTAAAATTGCAATAATTGCCATAATGATCAGAACTATAAATGATGCTGCAGTATCACAAGCACCACTGCAATCACAGCAACGATCACAGGTATCACAACTTGGTGATGATGTATGTCCAATGGAATGAGTTCCTCCTTTACAACAACATGAAGAACAAAAAACGTAACCTGTTGCACATGGACAACAGCAAACCATTGCAGTAATGAGAAATGTTTGACCTTCATCAGATTGAGTTATTTGAATGCCTTTCTGATCTGGAATTGGTTGGAATAATCTTTCAAATTGGCCAGCCAATGGAGGTGGATTTTGTTGATAATATTCTAAAGGTACTCCATAGTTTGTTATGGGATAACCAAATTGGTTGCCACTTTGTAATTGAGTTGGATCATGTGTTTTAGGATTGATTGGTTTGGATTGTACTTGACATGGAAGTGTAGTTGGATGAATTGGTTGTGAAATGATTTGAGTTTCGTATGTGGATGCATGCATTTCAATCATAGTGGGCTGAATAGTGGTTGATTGTTGTGAGTTAGTTTGATTAGTTTCGTGTGGAGGAAACAAAGATAATGGTTGTTGTGGATTCATTTTGTTTGTCGTTGAAAATTATCCTGTCAAATAGCAAAAACTTTAAAGCTTGGTTTTAGTGTTACAGCCTTGCAAACTCACTTTCTAGAAATGTCAGAAAAAACTTTTTGCCTTCCATTCATGAATTTGGAATGCAGTTCGAATACCAATATATTTCCAAATATGTATAAATGGAGAATTTCATATTTAGTTTTCAGGAAGGATATTCATCTAATAAAGTTCTATTAGAAAGTTAGAATAAGAGGAACGAGCTTGACGGTGTTGAATAGCATCGTTCAATACTATACAGACATTGAACAATGTTACTTTTATGATAAAGTATTTGCATTATTTAATTTCTCAAAAGAAGGAACAATGCAACTTATGCAATATATAATATAATATAAATATTTATTGTGATATTAATGTGAACAAAAAGTATATTCAACACGAAACTGGAAAATTTCATATAAATCAGTCTCACTTCCTTGTTACTTTTCTTTTTTTTCTAATTGGTCAGCAGTATAACCAAGTGAGAGCAATATTTTCTTAATCTTGGCATGATCCTTCTTTTCAGCAGCATTATCAGCAACAACTATTGGAACAACATCATCACCAACATTTTGAACAGCTTGCATGTTGGTGTTTGAAGTGTCCTGATAAACGACAATTGGTACTGCAACAGTTGGGTCTTCGTTTGTCCAACTAGCACGATCTTGATCGAGGATTTTCAAGTTATTGATTGTGCCTTGATCATCATTGTCAAGCTGTTTGGCATGTTTTTTGACACGTTGTGCAAAGTTATTTTGTGCATTCTCTAATTGTTCCTCTGTACAACCATTTTGTTTCATTGATTTGAGTACAGCAACATAGTTGGATAGATCCTCGAACAATTTAGCATTCAATCTGTTGGCCTTGTAAATTGAGGCACGAGCAGGTACTTGAATGTTAATTGAGTTTCTCAAGTTGCTTCTACAAACAGCACCATCAATACTATCAATGACAGCAGTCAATACGAGAGAAAGAACAATAGAGGCACCACCAGCACCTGTGAAACATACAACCCTCATCCAAGTTGGTAAACCAACAACTTGAGCGAATGCTGCAATACCAATTCTGCCTGTGGCTACCAAGTAGCTGATAGCTGCTCTCTCGAGTTGGGCACTTACAAATTTACCTACTCCAATGGCTGTGATCAAACTGGCAACACCTTTCATTGCAAATTTGGTATCTTCTCCTACACCACCTGTCTGAACAGTAAGTTGAATTGATGACATTGGTGGTGGTGGAAGACTCAATTTTGCATACAAACCTTGAATAAGGGTACTGGCTTTAGTTACCTTTTGTTGGATTTCTTCAAAATATCTAGAGGACTCATTGTAAAACAAGGATGTATCGTTAATGAGTGTGTTAAGACGATCTGTACGATGACCGTTATCAGGATAGAGAAGACCTTCCAATGACATTTTTGTTTTTGTGTGAATAAGAAAATCAGTCTTTTTGATTCGTTTAAATATTGCAAAACAGTCAGTGATAAGAAGGATTACAACGGATCACAAGTGTTAAATCTATTGTAAACAAGATAGGATAGACTAAAAGTGGCTTAAAATTTGTCATAGATTACAATATTAGTACACTATTAGTAAATACCATCTTGTATTCATCACTGATAATATTAGAAAGATCTTCCCACAGTTTGTTATGGGATAACCGAAGGTTGCCTCTTTGTAAGTTGGATCATGTGTTAATTGCACTTTCCATGGAAGTGTGGTTGGAATTTGTTGTGTGAAATGCATTTCAAACATGGTGGGCTGAATGGTGGGTTGTTGTGGGTTAGTTTGAGTAGGTTGGTGTGGAGGAATATTAGAAAGTAAGTCGGCCAGAAACAGACAACCCAAAACGAAAGGTTTTATTTTTGAGTTGGCTTTGGTCTTCTTCTTGGAACACGAGTTCGTTTCTCAACAACCTCAATTTCCTCAACCGTTTCATTATTGTTGCTAAAATCAAGAATTCTCCTCACGCTTTCCTTTCGTTTTTTTGGTGCATTCATTTCTTCTAATTCATCCTCTCTTAATCTCTTTGGATTGCTGCTAATCAAATCTTTCGTTGAGAAAACGTTCATCTTCCTCAGAAAGAACAGACTTCTTACAACTAGACATATCAGACTCGGAATCAGAAGAGGTATAAACATGTGGTGTCCTCTTCTTACAACTTGAATTGGATGCTTTTGATGAATGAGAGCTTGATGGTGTTGGAATAGCATCAACAGAATCTTCATCTATAATTGGTTCCTTATTTGGGGAAAGCTCCGGTGACTCATCCATAGCCATTGAGGAAACTGGCTCAACATTGTTAGTTTCAACATTTGGTTGGCTAAAAGTATCATCGATTAATAAATCTATATCATCACAATCAAGAACTGGTGGCTTTCCAGTATCAATTACAGGTTGCACTGTACATTGTTGGTCTTCTTGGAGGCAAATAATTTGGCAAAGGTTACTTAAACTTGTCAAATTACTTTGTGTAATGGTTACATCATCAACGTGCATTGAATTATCACATCCAAAAGAAATAGTAGAATCATCATTCATAGATGTGGAAAGATCGTCATCAATTTGTAATCTGGCTGAAACTCTTCTTGGCTCGTGTGAAGGTTTGTAAACAACAACTTCAGACTCTCCAAATGATACAGACTTTCTACCTGTGGAGGTCATATTCTCATTATTGCAATCATAGATAAGGGATGAATCAGTGGCAACTGAAAATGATCCCAAAGAAGTAGCATTCATTTGGAATCCATAAGCAGAAACGTTTGAAGTTCTCTTAGTGGTGATTGACTGTTTTCTCTTAGGGGTATCAACATAGGTTGGAAAACCTGTTGGAGGAGGGCTGAATAATTCAGTTTTAGCATCAACATTCTCCTTTTTTGGTGTAGAATTGATACGATTTGGTTGATTTTCCTTCTCAGCATCAAATAATGGCAATTGTGAAACAACTTCTCTAACCAGTTTCATCTTTTCTCTTTCGTATTGATTCAAATTCTCATAGTAAAACAACTTGTCTATAATTCTAACCTCATCGTCGTGTTTTAACAAAATTCCATCCATATCATCCTCAATTAATCCTTCCAGAATTTCTCCATTAAGCTTGATTAAACTTGCTCCTTCATAAACACATAAAAATATACATGGATAACCTTCTTCATCATAATCAGGATCAAACTTGAGAAGACATTTGTGATTAACTCTAATATTACATTGTGTATAACAGCCAACTGTCAAATATTCCTCATTATCAAGCATAATTCCCTTTGTCATTTTAGAAAGTGATGTTTGAAGAATAATATTACCAAATCTACCTTGTTTCTTGTAGAATGGAGTTTCTGGACATGATGGACTAAATAAGCTCTTAGAATATGGACTCATCACACCCAAAGTTTGTAAATTAGACCAAGCCTCTCTCTGATTTTCAGGAATATAATTATTTGGTGGAGATTTAGGTGTTCTGAGAATTGGAGCTTTTGATCGAGGTGAGTGGAAATTAACTGTTGTATTCCTCTTTGGAGGTGAGGCAAATGTAGGAGGCAATGGTTGTGGTTTTAATTGATGTGTAGTTTTAGAACTTGATTTAGAGACTGTTGATGGAGCATTCTTTGGATCGTACAATAGTGTTCCTCTCTTCGATGGTACAGAATTTGTATGTTTGATAATTGAATGTTGATGATGGTGATGATTTGGAGGTGGGGTATGAATGAGATGATTCTTCTTTGATGAAGATTGTTTCTCATCCATGGCTACATTACATGATGGATGAGTAACTGATGATGATGATGGTGCTGAATTGAGTGGAGCTTTCTTTGGAGTACTCAGCAGGGTTTCTCTTCTTCTGGCTGCAGAGGAGGCTGTTGGAGAGAGGAAACGTGAATTATTATTGATCGTGGTAGTGGTTGTGGAGGAACATCCATTGCAAATACTATTGTTATTGGACATCATGATGATGATTATTACGGAACAAAAATATGTGAAGACAAAACTTGTTCCAAACACTCAGAGGCTCGAACCAGAAGAGGTTTTGTTCTTATTTTTTTTATTAATTTTTTCACGAATGTGTAACGATTTCTTTGAGCGCCAAAAAAATAAAGGACACTCTCATCAACGTTATCCAAATCATGATGATGAAATCTACAACAATTATTAATAATAATACTTGAAGTTTAAAGTTCATCAACAACTGAAAAAAAATGTGTGGCTCAGTTCCAATTCCGACTGGTCCTTTTGCAATTCTCTTCTTTCCAATTTTGATGGCAGCAAGTTCGTTGGATAGAATGCACTACAAAGCCATAGATATGAAGCGTCGAATCCGACAACATAATAAAAACCTCGATGAAGGTATCAGAACCAAAAGAAAACAATTTAAAGAAGAATTGAAGGAAAGAATTTTGTACAGAAAGCAATACAAGGCTGAGAAATCATTGATGGGAAAGATGAAGATTAGTGAAGGAATGGTGCAGGAAAAAGAAGATCAATCAAATCAGAGCATCATTTCAACCGAAGATGCCATCTTGTATTTGCAGAGATCAGTAGTAAGAATTTCTTCGAATAAGTTTGAAAAGGCATTGCAAGACATCAAACTTGCTATTTATTTGGACTATACTTTGAAGGAAACTTATGTAGTTCAATATTTCGAAGGTTTCATTCTGTACATGCTTGGTGATTATTTGGAATCAGCTCATGCATTCAAAAGTGCTATTGAATTCAAAGAAGATCAAGATGAAAAATCAATTTTATTGGAAAAGAAAATATTCGAAATTCAACATGAAATGAAACATCGATCAGAGAAGGTTATTGAGAATTTGACTGAAATTCACGAACAAACAAAGACCTATTTCAAGTCAGCTCACAAAAAACTCTTGGGTAAATTGGGAATGAATTCTCATCAACAAGAGGAAAATATTGAACCAACTTCAAACCAACAACACTCTTCGATGATTTCTCTTGAAGAATTGTATTATAGAGCTGGTATTTCTTATTATTTCTCCACGTATTACCATGACTCTATCAAATATTACTCAAAGGCTATTGAAATGGGTGAAAGCAACTCAAACATTTACCATTACATTTTCAATAGAGGTCTTTCCTATTTCTACAGTCATGAAGTTGATTTGGCACTGCAAGACTTTTTACATGCTCAAACATTGAACGAAACCGATGAAGTCTACAAGATGTTGGCCTATGCTTATGGGAGAAAAGGAATGGAAAAGGAAAAATCAGAAAATCTCAAAAAGGCCCAACGAATGAATCCTAACACAAATATTGTATCATGTTTTATTTATCGTCTATTGGATGATAATTGTACAGAATTAATATTCTCATTCTTACCAGTTCATAACAGAGTTTTACTATCAAGGACTGGAAAGTATTGGAGAGAAATTGCAATGAGAAGTATTGCCAATGAGGAAGTTTTCAAAATATCACTGTATAGTATATTCAATAATGTAGATATGCATTTAAAGAAGGTAAACACCACTACTCTTAAGGGAAAACTCTTTATGCCAACCCAATACAGGGTACATGTTATGGACCTTGTTGAGAAAGCACTTGGTGCCTCAGCTTACCAATATTTCCTTGAGAAACCAGCCAAGAAAATTGATTGTTACATGGCAACACCGGCTGGTAGCATTTATGAGTACATGACATTTAATTCGAATGGTCTTTCCTTCTTTAAACAAGTAGACTGTTTAAATATTGCACAAAACGCTTTGAGAGATGAAGTGATTCAAGTTCTCACAAGCGAGAGTCCAAACTTGAAGGAGCTCACAATTAGAACTGGATCATATGTTTACAATGACATTTCTATTCTTCGATCCATTGCAAATTTTACAAATCTCAAAAAATTAGCTTGGCACTTTGACTTTTCCACAGATCAGTCTTCCTCAAATATTCTTACAGAACTTGTTCTCCCACCAAGCTTGGAAGTCTTTGAATACGCTACAGAATGTACAAGTCTAATTGAGCAATTCGTAGCTCCATCCTATCCTAATGTTCACTTTGTTCCAATTGAAAATACTATGGAAATTGCTAAACAGTATTGTGAAGTGTTCGAAGATTGTGAATTGCAATAAAACAATTATTATAATCATTATCAGTTGACCATCTTTAACATTACAAAAAAAATACCACAACTCGCCTCATCATGGATCCCTCAGAGTTTGATATGAATTTTGAACAAGATTTGAATAATTATGATTGGCCAGATTTAGTCGATCGGGTATCTTTTGCCAATGGTGATGCATCCAAAACAATCAAATTTCTATTTAATCAACATGAATCCTTCATATCTTACGAAGGTTTGTAATTTTTATTTAATATTTAAATTAATATTTAATAATATAATAAAATGATGTTGTGATTGGAATTATATATATAGAACGGGAACAGGGTCTAACTGAACCTGAAGTATTGGAAAATCAAGCCTATAATATCATTAGATTTAATCATTTAGTTAAATTGCGTATGGATGTTGCTCTCGAAAAGAGAGTACGAGGAAGAACCAATAATTATTTTGCGTTTACTTTGGAAGATGCCAGAATGTTGGAAGGATGTATTGAATACTATGAAAATATCTTGAAATGCATTGATTTAATTCAGGATGATAAATTAATAGATGTTGTAAAGAGGAATATGATCGATGTTTATGGAATGTTGGGGAAAATTTATTATTACTTGTGGGAGGATGAACAATCAAATATTTCATTTCAGTATTGTAAGACACTGTTGGATGAAATAATTGAGAGAAATAATGGATTTATAAATCCAAATTATCAGGAGTGGATTTTTGAATGCTTGTTATCTAAAATTATTCAAGAATTGAATTCCTCCTCTCAAAAATCAGAGTCTTTGATTACCATGATTGATAATTATGTAGAGACATTTGGTGATAGAGCAACTAAAGATTATGTAAATATGTCGGATAGAGATTTTGTAAAAACTATCTCACAACAAACCAATTGTGACATGCAATCCATCAAGCAATTTCTACAATTTTCAAAAATCAAATATTTTAAATCTATTCTAAATGATGATGCTCTAGTATCTAGTATTAGTAATGGAATAGAGTTTGTTAAATTGCAAACAAATCATGCATTATCAGTTGCAGAATTGGAATTTCATTTTGGAGTGGACGAGTTCTATTCTCGACTTGGAGCTATTTTAACAAACCTTGGTAAATCAACAGCATCCTCAAACTACAATCACTCACTATTGATACGTAAAAACTTTTTTCTAAGAACTCTGATGAATAGAATTATTGATTATCAAAATTGTGGAATGGATGGTTCAAATGGAAAAACTCTTCTCTTTGCTTTGTATTATTATTTATTGTCTCTATTAGAGGCCTTCAAATTCGGTCCACTGCCATCAATTTTAATAGCAAAGGAACCTTTTATCTATATCAACCATCTTACTCTTGTTATTTATGAAGAAATTGAGCAGAACTTCCCTGTAGAAAGCTATGATCAATTATCTAGTAATATTAAAAACAGTGCTGAGATTTTGGATAAAGCTAATCTGCTGTTATATAAACGTTTCTGTTTGGAATTATTGAAGAAGAATTTTAGCAATGACGAAACAGTACACGAGGATTTGAAAACCATACAAATGTTGGAAGATCGAAATGAAGAGGAAAAATATTTGAGTTTGCAAATTCCCTCAATCAAACGACACGAATTGTGTGATGTTACTCTATTATTCCATGAATAAAAATTTGCTTTTTCGAATTATTAATTTTAGTGAGGTTAAAAGCCTGTTAGCTGATTACCTTGTTATTAAGATTACAAATCAATAACTTAATAAATAATTTAGATTCAAATTTATATGAATAATTCATATTTCTTAGAAGGTGACATTGAGGAGATTGACATATTTGAAAGCGAAGCAGATTTAGGCCTAGTGACTGTCGACTGAAACATATCTCTTCTAAAGGGATTAAAAACGTTGACTATTTGTGGTGTTGGTGTTACGTGAATAGCAGAAGTGGTCGAACCTGTTGTAATTGAATGTCGCCAAAATTCTTTTCGTTTATCCAAATAATCCAAAGTATCTTGTACAATATTAACAATTTCAGTGTGACCTTTTGTAGCGTCACCAGTTATTGATTTCCTCAATGCTTTAACAATGATTAGGAATACTGCTTAAACCAATTACTTACATTGATCGTTCAAAAGATTATTGAGATAATCCTCATCTTTGGTAAATTCTCCAAGGAGAAATCTTTCTTTTCTATTTACATTGGCACTCTTTGGCCTTGTTGCTGACATTGGTCTACTGGTGCCAGAATAGGTGGTTCTTGCACTTGATGGTCTAGTTGTTGAGGCTGACATTGGTCTAGGAATGGGGGGTTTGGGTGTGAATGATGGATTATATTGTTGCCTTGAAGATCCTGCAGAAGCGGGACGTTGAACTGTCCTTGAAAGAGTACTGCCAGCTGATGAAGGTCTATTCTTATTGAGCTGATTTTTGGCAGGTAATGTATAACCCGAATGAACATCCCTAGGAGTGACAACTTTTCTCGTCTGAGTCTGATAGAGCCTTGACGTGGCAGAACCTGGTCTTGAAGAAAAAGTACTAGATGCTGAACCTGGTCTTGATGAGCTCAAACTTCCCAACCGAGATGAATTCAATGAATCCGATCCCTTCTTGTATGCTCTGTCAATTTCATCCTGTTCAATAGATTCATTAATTGCAATTTTGGCTTTTCTAATACCCTTCTTAAAATCCTCAATATCCTTTCGAAGGTCATATCCCTTATAATAATATACAAGAGCATACTCAAATTTTCCTGATGAATATAAACACTCTGCCTTTGCTAGAAATGCTCGATGATATTTTGGATCAATTTCCAAAGCCTTTTCCGCATCCTCAATTGCTTTATCAAATTCTCCAATATTAGTAAAACATTTCGATCTGCAAATATAAGCATACTTGTTCATTGGTTCATCCTCCAAAGCTTTTGTAAAAGAAACAATTGCTTTATCCCATTCTCTTGTTTTCATGTAACGTTCTCCTTCGGCAAGAAAACTTGTCAATAATGTAATAATGGCATCACTCTCGCTCATACTCTCCAAATTATTAAGATTTATATTTGAATTGGGATTTGTAACGATGGAATTAGGTGTTCCATTCCTCGTTGCCTGTTGTTGATGACTGCTACTATTCAAAGTTGAGTTTCTGTCAAAAGAATTGAGGAAGGAATTTCTACTAGTGGCTGATGTTGGTGTTCTACCATAAGGTGCTGATGAAGGACGACCACTATTATTCATCACTATTGAGGATGAGGCGGATCTCAACCCACCTCCACCACCACTCGTATTTGAGAGTGATAGAGGCTGCCGTCCGTTGTTTTTCATTTCTTTTTAATTTGACTGTTATGAAAAAGGCGCCAAAATTGTAGCTTGCAGCAAACTTCAGAGACCAAATTAATTTTAATCTTTTTATGAAAACTACCCGAATATATGATAATCTTCTTATCATGCAGCTAATACATGAGAAAAATACTAATAATTAACAAACAACATTTAAATGAACCAATTCAAAATTGCCCAACAATGTAAAATAATGTTATCTTGAAAAGATTCTCTCTTTGCCTTACGAATATTCAAAAAACTTTCTTTTGTAATGTTTGTCGAGTTGGATTCTTTGTGCTGATGAAGAGAGAGAAGGTAATGGCAGCGTAAGCAGAAAACAAGCAGCACATAGATGATGAACAAAATATTGTTGTGAAAAAATGAGTCAAAACCAATTCCGCTCCATGCCAGCTTCTGGGGGTAACAACAATAATAATAGGAATCAGAGCCGAAATCAACAACAATCGGCCAGCAGTAATAATAGTGGTCGTGCTCCTCCTTCACAAAATACCAAACCTCCTCAACAAGGACAACAACAGCCAAAGAAGAATAGTAATACAACACCTGTCTCCTCCAATAATAATAATAACACTAATCAACCTAAAAAGCCAATTCAACAAACTCCACCAAAAGAAGCTGTATCTCAAAATACAACTTCTCAACAAGCAGCTTTTGACGAAGATGCTGAAGGATATAAGCAAATGGAAAACCTGGGTGTTATTGTTGACGAACCAGAAATTCAATTAGTTGGTAAGTATTTTGTATGATACAATAGTTTTATTAATATTATTATTATAATTTTATAGTAAATACAAAATCCAAGGGTATTTGTAGCTATTCTGTGCGTTATCAAGACCAACAACAATCAACATCAACAGCTGATAAGATTGAACTTATTCCTTCTGAAAAGCCAATTAGCACACAATCATCTGACTTTTTAATTTACTCAGATGATGGAGCATACTTGGCCTATCTTGATAAGATTGATCCTTTCTCTCCAAATGATAAGAAAATTTCAAGACTCTTTATTTCGGACACATTTACTGGAGAAATGAAATATATTCTTACTCAACCAAGAGAAGTTGCCATCACAAAAGTGCACTTTTCACCTTGTAATAGTTATTTAATTACATTGGGAAAGTGGAATGGAGAACCAAGCAGCGAGCAAGATGAAAATCTTTTAAAGTTTAACTTGAGAATTTGGAAGTTAAAGCAAGATACTACTATAACAGAAAGTGGTGTTCCATCTTTGAATTTACCAAACTCTACTCTTATTGAACTTAATGAAAAGGATCATTTACTTATGAAGTTTTCTCACAAACCAACAGAAAATGGATTATGGCCTGTTATTCAATGGAATGAAGATGAAACTTTAATGGCTTATTTTGATCCATCTGAAGAAAGTGTCATTTTCTATAATGTTGAAGAAACACCTGAAAAGAAAATTAGTTTCCAACCAAGAAGTGATATTGTTATCCAAAGAAAGGTTCACGCATTTGCCCTTTCTCCAAAGAGTACTTTTGCTATTTATACTTATAACACCAACAAGTCAACTGAACAAAACAGTGTTAGATTGTACAAATTACCAAATGTTAAGCGTCCAACTGCCACCAAACATTTTTCACATGATGTAGATTCTGTTGAAATGCGTTGGAATAAGGTTGGTACTGCGTTACTTGTCTATACCACAACAAATACTGATCAAAGCGACAAGAGTTACTATGGTGAAAATAAGCTTTATTATGTTAGATCAAATGGAAATCTTTCTAAGGATATTCAATTAACAGAAGAAGGACCTGTTCACGATTTACAATGGTCTCCAAGAGGTAATGAGTTTGTTGCCATTTATGGTTATTCTGGACCAAACATGAGAGCAACTTTGTTTGACGCACAATCTCAACCAATCTTTGAATTTTTACAACAACAAGAAAATACATCCAATTGGAAAGTTAACAAGATTTTCTACTCCCCTCATGGTAGATTTTTAGTTTTGGCTGGTTTTGGTGGTTTCACTGGTACCCTCCTCTTCTTTGATAGAGAAAGAAAACGTTTAATGGGTATTAATCAAGCTTCTGAACCAACCTTTGCTCATTGGTCTCCAGACTCTAGATTATTTATTGTTGGAACTCACTTCCCAAAGTTGCGTGTTGCTAACAAATTCCAAATTTACAAGTATAATGGCCAATTAATGTACAACCTTACTTTGCAAGATGACTTTTTATATCATGCAATTATTAGACCTGTTTCTTCAAATAGATACAAGAATCGTCCACCTTCCCCAAGAGCTCTTAATCAAGGTGTTGTTAATGGAGCTTCATCTACCTCAAATACTAAGCCTTCTCAATTCCAATCTCAACCTGCATCCGCTCAAAAGGTTTCTGCCTATGTTCCTCCTCATTTGAGAGGAAAAACATCTGATGTTCCACATGGACCAACTTCAGGAAGTAATTTCTCTCCACAACCAGCCTCAAATGCCAATGTTAAGACAGTTGTTGTGAATATCTTTTCTGGTAAGACTGATCCTTTACCTAATAAGAATGCTCCACCACCTCCAAATTATGACATGGTTATTGAAAAGAAAAAGAAGAAGAGAGTCAGAAAACGAAAAAAGAAAAAGGGTACTGAAGAAAATGCCTCAGGAGATGCTCAAGGAGAAGAGGATGCCAGTTCAGGCGAAGAAGAAGAAACCCAATAAACCTCAAATTTAAATAACTGGAATTCATTGAAAATGGATTTTTATTGATGATCCTCCACACAATTTGGCATGTTCCAACACCATTCCATCAAATCAATCGATTCCAATCGAAACTCCTCTCATATGAAAGATCTTTTAAGATTGAATTAATTCTTATTTAATGCAATTAGACATATCTCCTAATATTTTTCTTTTTGATTGATTATTAATATTGTTTAGTTTACTAGTTTTGTGTGATTTTTCAATTCCTTTAATGTTGTTAGTCTCTTTTTGTTCCAATCGTTTCTTGACAAGATTAAATGATATCATACACTGACCACGATTACAAGAACATGATATTTCACTAAATATTTCAAACATTCCATTCACATTTGTCAAATCTATTTTACCCATTATAAAAGAACCATCCGAATAAAAATTAAAATAATATGCAAACGTTTTGCAGCAAATAAATGAAAGCACTTGTTGTCTTAATAATATTGGTGTTAGTATTGTCAACATTATTGTTTTGTGAAATTCTTCACAATTAAATGCATCATCCATATTGGAATTTGCAAACACGATATAAATCCTTGAATCACCATTGTCTATACAAATATCAGTATTAATTTTGATATTATCGCCAAGTTCAACACAATAATCAAAATATACGTTATTACCTGTATCTGTTAATGATATTAACCAATTTAATCTGTACTTGAAGAAATCCTCTCTATTATTAATGTTATTGGAATTTTCTTGAAAATAATTGACATATTCCCTCAATTCATCTGCAGCTCTTACCCAGTCCTTAAATTCAACTAAATTGGCTATTTTACGATAATCACTATATTTCATTGTTATACATTTAAAGAAATATGGAGCAGAGTTTTGGAGCCAAATATCAAGTTCAAACAATTCAGTTATACATATTAAATTATTTTCATCTGCCACAAATTTACAAATTGCTTCAAATTCCTTTTGAAATTTCTTTGGATAAAATCGTTCTAAAAGATGTGAAACTGTATGATATTCACTCTCACCTGACTCTATATTATACAACCACTTATTTTGTTTTCTTACAATATCAAGCCATCCTTCAATAGTATCATCAACCATGGGACTTTCTTTAAAAACCTTTAAATTACATTTATTAAATTGTTCTTCCAACATTCCGATATGAATCTTCTCGGTGTGTTCTTCTTCATTTTTTGATTGTTTCATTTTTTTGAATTTAAAATTTATTAAAATTTTGGCGGCAAGGTTTCTTTAAGGAATTGAGCCTTAATCAGGAGTTTACCATCACCACTAAGTAGAGTGATATTTATCAGGATTATATTCGTATCAATAATTTAATTGTTTTTTCTTTAGCTCTACAAATGTACCATCAACAATTTCACCAATGAAAAAAGCCAGAAAAATGTCTCTTCCATCATCATTATCAATACCTGATTGAAGCAAACTTGCTATTTGTTTGAATGTTTTGGAATCTCCTTCAAGTTCTTCAAGTTCATCTTCTTCGTATTCTTCTTTTGCCAATCTTTCTTCAAGCTTAGACTTTCCAATACAATAAGTACATTCATGGGAATAACCATCAAGCTTTTCAACAATAACAAATGGTGTTGATTCGTTAGTTTTGGCCAAATTCTCTTCATTAATCTCCTGACCATAAACTATTCCAACAACAGCCTCTGTTTCACATTCATTATAAACCATTCCACCAACTTCACCAACTGCCAACCCAGCAATTCTTTCAAAAGGTAATGGATAAATCTTTTCTTTCAGTACCTGTTTGTCATCATTTTTAGAGAGACCCAATACTTCACCTGCATATTGATTCCAATACTTAATGTAATAGTTAAAGAGATACTCCTTCAAATCATCAGTATTATCAAAAGGATGAATAGTGAATGGTGTAACTCCACAAAAGTGAGCAGTCATGGCAAGATAACGATTTCCTCTAGATGATAAAGTTTGAAAATTCAATTGGGTTAGATTTTTAAAATTATCACCTTGTAAATATTGTGCTCCTTCATTATCAATATTATTACACAATACATTCAATAAAGTTAGCCCTTTAACAATTGAACTCTTTGATAAATAGCCAATACCTTCATTACCAATGGAATTATTTGACAAATTCAATTGTGTTAGATTCATATTTCCATTTGCTAAAAACTTTGCTCCCTCAGCATTGAGAGTATTATTACTCAAATTGAGAGTTTTCAAATGTTGCCAATCCAAACTGAAAATCTTTTCAAAGAAGCATGGATGAATTTTACTCTTGAAAGTAATTCCAGTAACATTTTTGAATTTACCTTCCTCTCCACTTTGAATAAATTCTCTCACTCGTTTACAATGCTCTTTATCATTCGAATATTTAAAACTTGTTACCTCATAGGTTTCTCTATCAGAAAATTCCCATTCTTTTAATTGGACAACAGTTCGTTCTACTTCCTCCATTGTGAAACCTGGAAAATAAACTTGAATATTACATCGAGTGGCCAAAACAAGATTATTCCACAGAAACGAAACTAATCTTATTGATTTAAATAATTCATTGCCATCAAGAAATGGGAAAATGGTTTGACTCCAAACATCTTCCGAAATGTGATTTACATGATCTTGAATCTTTATCTTCTTTGAAGATGAGCAATTTTCTTCAATGGATCGTTTTGTCATTTTTATTAATACTTTTTTCCGTAAAAGCACGTTAAAAACATGAAATGATGAAGAGGTTTGATGAATTAAAAAAAATGAAAACTGTGCCAAGTTATAAGGTTCAAATTTTTGGAGTGTGAATTTAAATTCGCATGAAAATTAGAGGAATTATTAAGATTATTGATTTTGGATTGACACCAAATTAGTTTTAATTAAAAAAAAATGAGCAAACGAAACAGACAAGATTTTGAAAATCATCAATTCATTAATTCGGAGGAAATATTCACTAACAATAATAATAATATGGAAGAGAAAGCAAAGTTTGTGAAACTCGAAAAAGAAATATTTTCATATGATGTTTGTTTTGAAATAATTTCAATGCTTGATGATTCGTGGTTTATTTTAAATAATTGTACTTTAATTTCAAAACAATTCTTTAATGTGATCAGGGAACGTTCAAAACTTGTTATTAAATTTAAAAAGAAATTTACAGAGAAACGAGTTGAATTATTCATGAAAAGTCAATTTATGAATAGTATTGTTAATGTTAAATTTTCTAGTTGGTTGCTTGACTCTTTTGAAAGAGCAGAATTCATAAGTGAAATGAAACAATTAACATCACTTAATATATATAACAATCGAATTGGTGATGTAGGAGCCAAATATATAAATGAAATGAAACAATTAACATCGCTTAATATTGGTGGCAATCGAATTGGTATAAAAGGAGCTAAATTGATAAGTGAAATGAAACAATTAACATCACTTCATACATATAACAATCGAATTGGTGATGAAGGAGCCAAATATATAAGTGAAATGAAACAATTAACATCACTTGATATTGGTGGCAATCAAATTGGTGATGAAGGAGCTAAATTAATTAGTGGAATGAAACGATTGACATCACTTCATATATATAACAATCGAATTGGTGATGAAGGAGCCAAATTAATTAGTGGAATGAAACAATTAACATCACTTAATATTGGTGTCAATGAAATTGGTGATGAAGGAGCTAAATTAATTAGTGGAATGAAACGATTGACATCACTTCAAATATATAACAATCGAATTGGTGATGAAGGAGCCAAATATATAAGTGAAATGAAACAATTAACATCGCTTAATATTGGTGGCAATGAATTGGTGATGAAGGAGCTAAATTGATAAGTGAAATGAAACAATTAACATCACTTAATACTATAGCAATCGAATTGGTGTAGAAGGAGCCAAATTCATAAGTGAAATGAAACGATTGACATCACTTCATACATATAACAATCTAATTGGTGATGAAGGAGCTAGGTCTATTAGTGAACTGAAACAATTGACATCACTCTGTATATCTAACAATTTAATTAGTGGAGAAGGAGCCAAATATATAAGTGAAATGAAACAATTAACATCGCTTAATATTGGTGGCAATGAAATTGGTGATGAAGGAGCCAAATTCATAAGTGAAATGAAACGATTGACATCACTTCAAATATATAACAATCGAATTGGTGATGAAGGAGCCAAATATATAAGTGAAATGAAACAATTAACATCACTAAGAAAATAAGGTGTTTGGATATGGAACTATAAAACACCGTTGATAATTGTCACCTAATAGACAAAAGCCTACTCATATTCTTCATCCAAAAGGATGAGGTATGTTGTTTAGAAGAAAAAAAAATCCCTTAAGAAATCACAATAACACTTAATATGATTCTCTAGAGTAATACATGTTGATATCATTCTTCCGAAGAGGAGGAACAATACAAAGAGGGGGTTAATCAATTGATGATAAAAAGTATGTGGAGAAGAAAACACTCGCCAATCAATGGGGAACAAATTGGGCTAACACTACCGATTATTAGATGAATATCCCTTGTTGAGATCAATTGTGATTATCCAAATATTCTACTGAATGTAATTGGTACTGTAAAATGGTTTTGTTCTCATTGCCTCTTTTGAGATTTGTTGAGAGAAACAAATATTCTCGTTCTTTTGATCTGGAAAACAAAAATTTGGGTTTTTAATTGGGAATTCTCCACATCACACAATTTTCAAAATCAAAAAAAACAAATCAACAACAACTACTCAACCAGACAAATTATAATATTTGTGATGATCAACAATAACCACCCACTCACCCTTTCCATGATGGACACTTCCCCATCCACAACAATTTCTGGTCCTCCATCTATCAAGATTGGAGCTACAGAGAAGATCAAGGATATTCTGTTCCGAAAGATTCGTACTTATTTGAAATTGGAAAACTGTGATTCATCAACTGTTCAACAAGTTTTATTGGTCCATGAGAGAGGAATGAGAGATCAAAAGACATTGGTTAATGCAATCAAC